GAGGAACAGCTTCCTTCTCTGCAAGATAAAGAGCTAGGTCATGGGGCCAGCGCTGTGGCGTAGTGGGTAAAGCCGCTGCCTGCAGTGCCAGCGACACATATGGGTGCCAGTTCAAGACCCGACTCCTCCACTTCCGATCCAGTTCTCTGCTATGGCCTTGGAAAACAGTAGAAGATGACCCAAGTGCTTGGGCCCATGCACCCATGTGGGAGACCCAGAAGAAGCTCCTGGCTCCTGGCTTCGGATTGGCATAGTTCTGGCCGTGTGGCCAATTGGGGAGTGAACCAGTGGATGGAAGACCTCTCTCTCTCTCTCACTGCCTCTCCTTCTCTCTCTGTGTAACTTTGACTTTCAAGCAAAATAAATAAATCTTTTAAAAAAAAGAGGCCAAGTAACTGTATTTTTCTTTTCCATCCAAGTTTGATTCAGGTAAGCATTATCACACACAAATGTTTTTCAAAAAGTTCATTGGAAATGCATGGATTTCAATTTTTTGCCCGCCAAAATAAACTTTTCTTTTCATTCCATTTCCCATAAACCTTTTTGAAACACCCTCTTACATAATATTAATTAGATGCTATACAATCTTCTTTAATATGCATGAAGGCAGTGTTTAAAATATTTACTTACTTATTTATTTGGGTGAAGAGAGATAAAGACAGAGAACGTGCTGCCATCCACTGATTCACTCTCCAAATGCCCATAACAGCTGGTGGGCTGAAGCTGGGAGCCTGGCACTCAAACCAGGTCTCTCATGTGGATGGCAGAAACTCAGTTACCTGAGCCCTCACTCAAGTTGTCTCTTAAGGACTTCACTAGCAGGAAACTGGAGTTAGGAACCAGGAGTGGGTATCAAATATGGGCGCTCCAACAGAGGATGCAGGTGTCTTAACTGCATGTCCAAATGCCGTCCCTGGAGATGGTTATTAACTCAGTCCTTACCCTTGTGCTATCAGTCACAGGAAATTGTGGGAAATCTTTGCTTCTACAGTCCAGGTTCTCAGGTTATATAATGAGTCTCAGAGCCTCTCACGCTAGAAGTGGGTATTCTGGTAGCTCTAGAAGAGAAGCGACCTTTTAAGGTCACCCTGCCATCTTCAAATTGACCTGGAGTCCAGCATTATGGCACAGGTGGTTAATCTCCCACTTCTCATGCTGGCATCCTATATTGGCTTCTCTGCTTCCGATCTATCTCCCTGCTAATGCACCTGGGAAACCAGCAGAGGATGGCCCAAAACATGGGCCCCTGTCACTCATGTGGGAGAACCAGGTGGAGGTCCTAGTTCCTGACTTCAGCCTGGACCACACATGGTTGTTGTGCCCATTTGGAGAGTGAATCAGTGCATGGGAGATCTCTCATTGCCTCTCTCCCTCTCTCTTGCTGTCACTCTGCCTTTCAAATAGAGAAATAAATCTTCAAATAATTTTGTAAACAAAAATATAGATTTCCCCACTGGACAGAAGGTCTGAACGGGGAATGCTGAGTCAAGTTCTAGAAGTGGATCTTCTCCAGGACTGGAGGCACAAGTTGGTTACCTATCTGTAGTTCAACTGTACGAGTAAATCATTGGCAAGAACAAATTGCTCCAAAGAGCAAAAGGATATGTTAGTAGGGGACGGTCACAGAGACAGTGTTTGTGAGGAAACTGAAATGTGGACAAAACAAATCTTGCAGGAGAGAAATACTTTTGATCCATCATTTATGAGATCAGGAGAAAGGGACATGAAGGCCAGTCTCACCGATAGCTAAGTCATCAAGGATGCTCATTATAGCATTTTAAACAGAACAAATAGGTAACACACTGAGCAACTGCTAGATGATTTATAAGATGGGAACATGGAATAATATGCATCAATTATACATCATGTTTATAAAGAATGCTTAAATTAGTGGGAAATGTTCAAGATACAACAGATAATAGTATATGTTATTTAAAGCTAGAAGTCAAATACGATATTAAATATGTAAAAATTGGGGCCGGCGCCGTGTCTCACTTGCCTAATCCTCTGCCTGTGGGGCCGGCATCCCATATGGGCGCTGGGTTCTAGTCCCAGTTGCTCCTCCTCCAGTCCAGCTCTCTGCTGTGGCCCCGGAAGGCAGTGGAGGATGGCCCAAGTGCTTGGGCCCTGCACCTGCATGGGAGACCAGGAAGAAGCACCTGGCTCCTGGCTTCGGATCGGTACAGCGCCAGCCGTGGCGGTGATTTGGGGAGTGAACTAATGGAAGGAAGACCTTTCTCTCTCTGTCTCTCTCTTACTGTCTATAACTCTACCTGCCAAATTAAAAAAAAATAAGTAAAAATATTGGTAGAGAAACATGGAAGTCACTGGACAGGAATATTGACAGTGTTACTATTGGGATTGTAAGATTATGGATGAATTTTTTTTTCATTTTTTAAACCTTTGTTTAGTAAATATAAATTTCGAAAGTACAACTTTTGGATTATAGCAGCTTTTGCCACCATAACCTCCCTCCCACATGCAACATCCCATCTCCCACTCTCTCTCCCTTCCCATTCTTCATCAGGATTCATTTTCAATTATCTTTATAAACAGATCAATTTTGTATATACTAACTAAAGATTTCAACAGTTTGCACCCACACAGATATATAAAGTACTATTTGAGTATTATTTTTACCATTAATTTGTATAGTACAACACATTGAGGACAGAGATCCTACATGGGAAGCAAGTGTACAGTGACTCCCATTGTTGATTTAACAATTGAAACTCTTATTTATGGATGAATCTTTTTTTTATTTTTATTTTTTTGACAGAGTGGACAGTGAGAGAGAGAGAGAGAGAGAGAGACAGAGACAGAGAGACAGAGAGAAAGGTCTTCCTTTGTCGTTGGTTCACCCTCCAATGGCCGCCAGAGCCGGCGCGCTGCAGCCGGCGCACCGCGCTAATCCGAAGGCAGGAGCCAGGTGCTTCTCCTGGTCTCCCATGGGGTGCAGGGCCCAAGCACTTGGGCCATCCTCCTCTGCACTCCCTGGCCACAGCAGAGAGCTGGCCTGGAAGAGGGGCAACCGGGACAGAATCCGGCACCCCAACCAGGACTAGAACCCGGTGTGCCAGCACCGCTAGGTGGAGGATTAGCCTGTTGAGCCGCGGCGCCGGCCTGAATCTTGCTTTAATGTTTATACTTGTCTATCTAAAATTTCTTTTTTTTTTTTTTAAGATTTTTTATTTATTTATTTGAAAGAGTTAAACAGAGAGAGGAGAGGCAGAGAGAGAGAGAGAGGGATAGAGAGAGGTCTTCCATCTGATGGTTCACTCCCCAATTGGCTGCAATGGCTGGAGCTGCACCAATCTGAAGCCAGGAGCCAGGAGCTTCTGAGTTTTCCATGCAGGTGCAGGGGCCCAAGGACTTGGGCCATCTTCTGCTTTCCCAGGCCATAGCAGAGAGCTGGATTGGAAGAGGAGCAGCCAGGTCTCAAACCGGCACCCATGTGGGATGCCAGCGCTTTAGGCCAGGGCATTAACCCACTGCACCACAGTGACAGCCCCTAAAATTTCTATATTAAATATGTTTTGTGTTTATAGTTGGAGTAAAAAGTAATACAGGTTATCTTTTAAAAAGGACATCACAAAACCTCAAATGAGTGTAATTTTATAAATTTTAGATTATCAGGAATGGAGAAAAAAATTGGGGGAAAAGTTTGAGAAAGGCATCAAGTACAAAACTCTGACCCTGGTTGCCCAAAGAGGAGAGTGGAGTTGGCCATGTCAGTGGAATGGCATCATTAGCAAGGGCTTTGAGGTGGAGAGGGATGCAGAGCAGGGGTGCAGAGGAGAGTTCTGGGAGTTCCTGCTATGCAGCCTCTTTTCATGGTCCATTACTTAACCTTAGACAATTCCCTGAGGGACATGAGATGGTGGGGGGCTGGGTTGTCCTATTGTCCTTGGAGAACAATGACGCTGCTATATTAATTAATTAATTTGAAAGGCAGAGTTCCAGAGAGGCAGAGGCCGAGAAAGAGAAAGGTCTTCCATTCACTGTTTCACTCCCCAAATGGCCACAACAGCCAGAACTGGGCCGATCCAAAGCCAGGAGCCTGGATTTTCTTCTGGATCTCCCATGTGGATACAGGAGCCTAAGCACTTGGGCCATCTTCTGCTGCTTTGCAAGACACACTAGCAGAGAGTTGGAGTGGAAGTGGAGAAGCAGGGACTGGAATGGGTGCCCATATGGGATGCCATATACTTTTTGAAGCTTTTTTTTTTAATGCTTTTTGACCTTCCCATCGCTTAAAGAAGTTCCTCTAGACACTCAGACAGCTGTATGCTTGCAGGCGGGATGTGTTTTGCAAAGTTCTTAGAACTGAGTTGGAGGAGTCTTGGCATAAACTGAGCACTGTGGGCTCTGTGCTCCATAAGACCACTTAATGGTCGGCGCCGCGGCTCACTAGGCTAATCCTCCGCCTTGGGGCGCCGGCACACCGGGTTCTAGTCCCGGTCGGGGTGCCGGATTCTGTCCCAGTTGCTCCTCTTCCAGGCCAGCTCTCTGCTGTGGCCCGGGAGTGCAGAGGAGGATGGCCCAAGTGCTTGGGCCCTGCACCCCATGGGAGACCAGGAGAAGCACCTGGCTCCTGCCATCGGATCAGCGCGGTGCGCCGGCTGCAGCGCGCCAGCCGCGGCGGCCATTGGAGGGTGACCCAACGGCAAAGGAAGACCTTTCTCTCTCTCTCTCTCTCTCTCACTGTCCACTCTGCCTGTCAAAAAAAAAAAAAAAAAAAAAAAAAAAAAAAAAGCCACACATTCGACTCCTAGTATTTCTGTCTCCTTCAAACATTTTTGCAGATCTCTCCACACTGCTCAGTATCATTCTCATTGTTGTCTTTGTGACCAAGTCTATCATCACCCTATGAAAATCTCTCCTTTGCAGAGGCTTTGTCCTTCTTAGAACACCCTGTGCGTCTGCTCTTAAGCACCCATTTTTCACATCTCTGAAATCCATCATCCACAGGGAATAATTCTCATGAGCCCATCACATAGTAAATGACACCCTCTTTTAGTGATAAGAAAAGGCTTGACTTAAAAGAAGAAATAAAAGTCTACAGTCATCAAAACAATGTAATATCCTGTGTGAAAAGTTGCAGTCACGATGCCTTGTGGTTTGAGTCCCTTGATCATGTGCCCTAAGGGAAGTAGGTTGGTGGTGGCCCTGGATGACCGAGATTCTCAGGCTGTGGCGGGCACGTCTTCAGTTCACCTCACACTTTGGGTTCCTCGGGAAGGAGGGGCTGGAGCCCTGGCCCACCGTTAGGACGATGATTGTCAGGCTGCTCTTGGCTTTCAACTTCTTCCCCTCAATTCAAGGAACAGGTAAACAACTTGGATTTGTCTTCTCCTCTAAGTTTTTCTCTGTAGGGCTTGTGATCCATGTGCTTTACTTTAAAGTTCAGATGGCCTGTGAAATGTGGACATTTGAAGTGTGGTTCTGCTCTAATACGGTAACTTGTTATTTAGAGACCCGTTGATTCTCAGACCACAGCATAGTATTTTTAATAGAAATCCCTTAGAAATAAATAACATTTATTTTGCTACTAGTTGATAGTGTTTCAGGACTTTTGACTTATATACCACATTTTTTTTTTTTTTAATTTAAGAAAACTGCTCTAAGTAGGTTGGTTCTGAAAGCTCTGAATTTAGACTGCTTGGGTTCATATCACAGATCCAATTCTTACTAGCCCGGGCTTAGGTGAGTATTCAAACTCTTTAAATCTCAGTTTTTTTAATCTTTAAAATGGGAATGATAATAAGTTCATTTCAACAACACTGCAAGGATAAAACAAAACAATCTATGTGAAATGCTTAGCTCGGTAAGTGCTTGGTTAGCATTATAAACGTTAGTTGTAATTACAATGTTTATCTTAATTTAATACGTATACAAATAAATCCTGGTGTCTCCATGGACGCTATTACAAATACTAATAAATTAGCTTTCATTTACTATTGGCTGAAATATATCATCTCGGATTAAAATTCTTTAAGTTCCCAAAGATGATGAGGAGGAGGAAGGTGCATTTACACTTACAGAGCACTTGATTTGAGTTGCATTCAGTTTCCACAATTAGGAGGTAGGTATTCCAGCCAATCCCATTTTGGATGAATCAAGAGAGCAGGAAAATTAAATATTTTGCTCAAGGATATAGCGGTACCAGTTATTGGTCCCAACTGCCTGTCTGCTGTCTCTCTTAACTATTATGCTATTTCACCTAATGTGATGTGGTTTGTAATTCCATAGGCCCAGAGAAATCCAAGGTTAAATCATCTTCAGAAAATCAATTTATAAGAGAAGAGCTTGTTCCTTTCGGGGCAGGAATAAGACGTTTGGTCAACTTGTTCTCAGAGTGAGAAACGGGTCCCACTTGGCTCAAAACTTGGACTGATAGGGTCAAAGGCATGTTTAAATAAGAATAGTTATTTCCCTCTGAAAGACTTGTTAAAAAGTAGGTATCCTCAATGTTCTTTCTTATTTGTAGTTTGGTGGTGCAGAGTGTGTTATTATTTGCTTTTGTCCTTGGAATTAGGTGCATATACTGCAGTCAGTATAACTTCCCAACGTGGTACAATGGTTACATATGAGAGCACTTCAGGCAGTTCTTGGGAGTATGACATTAAAAGATGAGTTTATTTGGTGCAAAGTTTTTTGAAATCCATGCATTCAAAGGGCTCTCAAAGAGTTCACAAAAAATGTGGACTATGAGCAAATTATGCATGGTTTTCAAAATTATTTTACACCAACATATATTTATTATTAATTCAATTTTCCACGAACTTTGAAATACCCTCATATATATCAATTTATTTTGCTGTGTGATGTGCCGATGAATATAAATTTGCGTATATTTATAAAAGGTGTTGATCCAATGAAAGACATGAGGTGGTGATGAGATAAGTTATGCCCCAAGATCTGGAACCAAGCACTTAGAATTACCCGATGCATTTTTTAAAAAAATTAAAATTTATTTTAAAGGGTCCTTAAGCTTTAGAGATCTTTAAAAATCCCTTTTAAAGCATATTTAACATTTTATAATTATTAGACCACAGAGGGAAACTTCACTCTGGCTAAAAACTATTTAAGATTGGTAATTATAGCAAAATGCCTTTCTGATATGTTATCTGCCATTGGTCCCTTCACTCTCTTTTGAAGATTTCTTGTATAAGACTCAAAGCTTTATATTTCTCCTTTAAAGTGCTTATTAAAAGAGAGGCAGCTACTAAGGCAATTGGAGAGCTCACACAGGCAGAACACTTGTTTTCGACTTTGAGATGTTTACTTTTCAAAGGCCAACCCTTGTCTAATAGCACTTCGGACCCGAGGTTAAGTGGCCATTTATGAACTGGGAAAGGAACAGGGGTCGGGGGGCGATGTGGAACTGCCTCTTCCAGGGGGCAGGCATTTGGCACAGCGTTTAAGACGCCACTTGGAACCCTCGCGTCCGTATCGGAGTGGCTGCGTTCATGTTCCAGCCTCGCTCCCGATTCCAGCTTCCTGCTGATGTGCATGCTGGGAAGCGGCAGGTGAAGGGTCAAGTTGTTCGGCCCTTGCCACCCACGTGGGGACCCAGATTGAGTTCCAGGCTCCTGGCTTCAGTTGGGCCCAGCCTTTCAAATACATTAATTATACCAAAATGTCTTTCACAGTAAGAAAACTGTGAGAAAGAAAATCATTACAACACACAAAAATGCATAATCCATTCTAACCCAATAGTGCCAAGGCAACCATGTGCTACTCAGTCCTCTCGCTGTATTCACCTGCTGTGAAGATAAGGAAATTGTCCTCCCTAGGACTGTGACAAACAATTACTGTGCCCGTGTTGAGATGTGTGCGTTATGTCTGTGTGTGCATGGAGAACCATCTCGTTTCCACTCATTTAATACTTTTAACCTACTGGCTCACAACATAGCTTAAAATTCTTATTCTGTGAAGCCTAGCCTGATTCTTCATGATTTGGATTATGCCATAAAAAGTTCTTTATGGTTCCATTAAAGAAATACAATTTAGGAAGAGTGAGGAAACGTTATCTTGGACAAGTTATTTTTTTTCTTGAAGTTTTCCTGGTCTATAAATTTATTTTATTTTTCAGAGTTTTTTTTTAAGATTTATTTATGTATAAGTCAGAATTAGAGCGAAGGAAAGACAGTGAGAGAGAGAGATCTTCCATCTCCTGGTTCACTCCCCAAATGGAAGCAATGGTTGGAGCCAGGCCATGTTGAAGCCAGGAGCCTAGAGCTTTTCCCAGGCCTCCCACATAGATGCAGGGGCCCAACCGCTTGGGCCATCTTTTGCCGCTTTCCCCAGCACATTAGGAGAGAGCTATACAGAAGTGGAGCAGCCAGGACTCAAACCAGTGCCCATATGGGATACCAGCACTGCAGGCAGTGGCTTAACTCACTGTGCCACAGAGCCGGCCCCACAGTCATTTTCAAACCAGTAATCTAATCTGTCTTTTCTCCTCATGAGTAAATAAAATCTGTAGCATGTATTCTTTATTTTATGAGTATTATTATTTTGCTTTTCTTTTTGAAAACTATCGTGTAACAGTTTTTCACTGAGATACCCAATGAGTTCATGAACAATCAGGTAAACTTTTTTTATGATTCACTTTTTTCCCCAAAGAAACCTTTTATTTAAGGAGTACAAATTTCGTTAAGTACAACTTTAGGCATACAGTGATTCTTCCCACCATACCCCCACCCCCACCTCTCCTCCCTCACATTCCCAGTTGGACAAGTTCTTTGCTAACATTGTGTGCCTTCAACTGGATTAAATACTAGTAGAACCGATATCCACAGAAAGGACTTGGTTGGATTTTGGAATCTGAGATCAGACTGGAATTGCGGACTCTTGAAAGGGAAGCAATTTGTGACTGATGACAGAAGGAGTATGCACATAACACATGGGCTTCATCAGACACGTTTTTTCAGTCCATACGGGGTATTTTTCAGTAAGCAAATCCTGTAGTACAAAGATAAAAATGCAGGCCATAGCATTCATTTTTCCTCGCGAGCATGTCTTCTCCTTCCTCCCCGAACCTCAGCAAGCAGACTGTCAGCATGGCCACTTTGGGCACGACTGATTTCTCCAATGCTGCTGCATCCCCCTGAGCACTTTGGAGAGCAGTACAGCAGGCAGGAAAACGATGGGCATTTAATAAAACGTCATCAGCAAAGCAAAGCAATTAAAAACCTGATTTTTATTTCAGCCTTTAGCAAATGACTCCTCTGCGGTAGCTGTATACAGAGAGAAGCAATTTACTTCCCTGGCTAAGTGTTGTTCAGGAGCTGGGTTTGGGGCAGTAAGGTGAGAAGATGAATATTGAAAAATGCGATGTAACCCATAGGAAGTATTTATGTGGCTTCTTAGGCATTGCAGCCAAGTTACTAGCTGTTAAAGTATCGACTGGATGTTTTGTCACTTCAAGCAAAGTTGATAGATATTTAAAAAATATAGACATTGCTTAAGAATTTGCTTAATTCCACATGCCCTCAGTTGCATGTGCTAATGCATATATATATAGTTACATAGTTGTAACACACTTCTATGCTCTAAGCTAAAAACTTCTTTGCAAAGCAACCATTGCAGCAAGGACTTTACAGCAAGCACTGTAACATCAATATCAATATATCAATTCCAGGAAGCACAATGAGTCATTGCTACAAAAAGGTTAAAATTAGGAATGAGTGTGTGGTCGCAACTCGGAGGCTCTCACATCCAGAGCTCTTCTCTAGGTGGGGAGGAGTTCTTGCTGCCTCCCCTCCTTTAGAAAAGGCCACCCTCCTTTTTAATGTCTTCTTTTTCTCATGAGTGGAGAAACGTCATATGATTGCCATTTGGCTTTTATCTCGTGTGGCTATCATCCTCCAAGTATTTCCTGCATGCAGTGTGCTGACATTTGCAAAATGAAATTTTTTATGTCACCAACATCCCAGAAGAAAATTCCATTTGTGGTTTATCATCTCTAAGACAATAGCTTTTTGCTGATGAGCACAGGCATTGACGAGGCTACAGACTCCCCTTCTGACTCTTGTCTAAAACTCGGAGGGCAGGCACTCCCGCAAAAGCACGACTATTTCACAGCAGGTCACTGCAAAGGATAAACTATTTTTCTCCTTTTCATCTTAGCCAACGCTTTGTTTTCCTTTTTCTTTGAGAAGTGCACTTACAGAGGCTGGAACTTGTCTTCTCAGTAGATAGTT